AAATTAGAATGAGAAGACCAACAGCTGAATGTTGTCATACCAGTCATGAGGAAACTCAAATCGCATGATTTTGGCAATCATCAACGAGTTATGGAGAGCCAGCAGCGGCGCAGGCTCAACGATTCCTGCCTCAAGAGCCCGAGTCTTGATATGTTCCTTTTCTTCCGCTTTGATCGCACTTTCATAAGTGTCAGTGTGCCCTCATCTTGACAATATTCCAATAACATACTTTGGTGCTGTCTTGCGCCAGTATTTATCGATACCGTTCTTCAGTTGGATGATGGCAAGGTAGCGAACTTCATTGGGTACAGAGTGGTCAAGAAAGACTTCCTATATGTTGCAAATTTGTTATTAAGTAAAGCAACAACAACCAAGACTGTCAACTGATACCTGTAGAAAAGAGTAGTACATGCCCTGTTTCTCCCAGCTCTGTAGCTGTTCAGTGCCCGTCCGAACTTGCTGCTGAGATGAGCTTGCTGCAAGGACTAGCGTATTGAGTACATTTTGGGGGTTGAGTGGATTGGTCTCGCCCTGTGCTTCGATGGCGAAGGCCATGGCGAATAGCGGTGTTGATCGACGCGTGAAAGAAGACCTGCAAAGCTTGTAGTTCTGTTAAAACAAGCACCAGATCAGAGTTTCACTAGAGTGATCTGAATCACTAGACATTCATGAAAAGGAACTCTGCGTGAGTTCCAAGATGTTAATTGATCTAAGAACTGCCATGTTTCCTCGGAGCTCCCTATCCAGCATAAACTCCCCGCCTCCGGAAAAGCCATACTCCGGTCCCGCCGAACCCTAGGGCTGAACCCTAACCTCTATCCCGATTCAGATATGCTCCTAGGGCTGATGTTTCCCCTCAGTGGAGACAATGACATCGGAAAGTCAAGCCTCAAACAGCTTGCTCAGAATGTTATCAAACTGTAATCGACAACTTTCAGGTTTGTTTTCGAGCAAAAATTTCTCGATTCACCTACAACGCATGCATCTTTCTCCACTCATGACATGCCTATGATATAGCATGATGCAACTACAATTTCTAGTCTGAAGTGAAGTAGGTATGATGTCGACCGGGTGACGTATATATATATAAAGTGCAAATCAATTCAATCTAGATGACAATCTCAAGGCTCAATCATATCATCAAACACCCAAACATCAAAATATCTACATATACTGCAACATATAAAAATACCCCAAACATGCCTACCACCGAAGAATTAAAGAATGTAGCTTTCAACGCCGAGAGGGACCTCAACTCCCACCAGGCCAAGCAAGGCCGCGGCAGAAAGAGTGACTCAAGTGCGTGGAGAAGCCGGTCTTAATCGGTGCCATTTATCTAATAATATTCCAAGCTGTCGAGTCTGGTGTTGATGAGATGGTCGACCAGCGATTTTCTCAGCCCACAAGTGTGAAGTACGGCCCTGGCTCAACTGCCTCTGGCAGCGACCACCGCGTGATTCGCGATGAAGAGGGTGGCGTTCGTGATGACCGCGACAGGTAAGCTACACGCCGCTTCTCTGTGGGCTGTCAGTCGTTCACATTGTTAACATTCTGTCCCTTCTAGACTCGCTAAGGCAGGTCAGTTCGAAGGCCCTGGCGGCCCGAGAGACTGATGTCAAGGTCTAGACCTAGAACCGTGGTGGTGATCAGGATACTCCGAGCCTTCAGGATATGAAGCTTCGCGGAATTGCCCGGCAAAAATATATACTACGAATGATACCTGTTGATCTGTATGATAATGGAAATTGGGATTTTAGCCGTTTAATAATACGTATGTTACCTTCCCGACTAGGACAATGGATAACATTTCGGACCCCACGTGTAACAGCAACCCTAGAAGCTTTGCGATCCCACATGATTGTCTTTTGTGAAATTTATAGGACTATAAAGAATTTTCATTCAAATTAATTGCTCGGGAATTCTCATTTTATGACCCAATCCCAAAATGGCCAAGCGCTGGCTTTACTTGTACTCCCCGACAACTACTCAGGTGAGAAACTGCCCTAGTAGGTAATTCCAAGGTGTATCCTAATATTTCACCCAGCCCTATAGATATACCCTTGGAGTTAACCTGCATATGAATACATAAATGTGTATAGAGTACTCCGTAGTTACCTGCTAACTAGTTATATGCACCTACATAAAAAATGCCTTTGCCACTCCTGGGTCCATTTCCAAGGTTCCTTTTTAGTGCTCACCTACATATGTATTGTTAATACATTTTGATCACTGGTTGAGACTCAGCACGCCCCCAGGTACAGCTCAGTGATTTGCCTGGGCACCCCCGGGCGTTCCCCACTCACTAAGCGTTGGGCTAAGCATCCAAGTCAGCTTATCTCAAGAAATTCACCTGGGCACACTAGCGCCCTATGAATACCCACTTCGGTTGGCTCTGTCTCACTAATGGAAATTACAAGAAATCAGATGCATGAGTATATCTATGGATAGATTTTACTATGTATGTACTCTATGTGCGTCGGTATAGGTACATAACACAGACTACTTTTCACTACTCGAAAGCTGCTGTAAAGGAAGAGGAAGGACATCGGGAAAGCCGGACTCCGGGGCTGTTGCCATGGATTCGCTAATCGGCTAAGCATTCGCCTTGATATTGATGTGGGTCTCTCACTTTGAGTGTTGTAATTTTAAACCAATCAGAGGGCTTCATTGCTCCATGTGCCCACATCATACAACAAATGCTCTACCTAAACCTCAACTCAATATCAGGTACGGAGTACGAAATACCTATTTGAGACTTAAAAAAGCCAGTAAAAAGCCGGTAGGGACATAGTGCCTTACGTACCTGTCAGGTACCTTCCTCTTGAGTTTGTCTCCGATGTAAGATGCACGTGTAGTGACCCCCTAGCTTCAAAACTTCCATACATATTCTGACATTTCTCTGTTGACGATCCTTTCTTCTTTCTTTCTCTCACCATCCTCATCCTCCTCATTTTGTCTCATCCTCATCTCATCAGTTATATCAATCTTTCATTGATTCTCTGCGAGATCCATCAAAATGAAGGCTGTTCTTGCTGTCTTGATGGGAGCGGCTGCTCTGGCAACCGCTCAGACAGCTACCACCTCTGAGCCCGCTATCGCGGACATTCACGCGGCTGCCGCAACCACCAAGCCGGAGGTCACCACCTCCAATGTCAAGGGCTTGGCTTTTGATCGGTTTTATCAAGTCTGGCTTGAGAACATTGTACGTGACAAACTCCCGAAACATTCCTGCAGTCTCCGAGACACCATGACTAACGGGTCCATAGAACTATGATGATTCCGCCTCTGATGCCAACATGCAGTGGCTTGCTTCTGAGGGTATTCTGCTGTAGGTTCCCAATGACTTGGGCTATGAGTGAGAGGATCTATTCTGATGCTCTTTAGGACCAACTTCTATGCTGTCACCCATCCTTCTGAGCCCAACTACTGCGCTGCCGCTGGCGGTGACACGTTCGGAATGGATAACGATGACTTCAACCAGGTCCCTGGAAACGTTTCCACCATTGCTGATCTGCTTGACACCAAGGGCGTCTCGTGGGCTGAATACCAAGAGCACATTCCCTATGCCGGTTTCCAGGGCTACAACTACTCTAACCAGGAAAGTTACGCCAATGATTACGTTCGCAAGCACAACCCACTGGTGCTTTATGACTCCGTTGTGTCCAACAGCAGCCGTGCCCGTCACATCAAGAGCTTTGATGACTTTGAAAATGATCTCCAGGACAAGAAGCTTCCTCAGTGGGCTTTTATCACTCCTAACATGACCAACGATGCGCATGACACCAACATCACTTTCGCTGCTAAGTGGGAGCGTCCTTGGGTGGCCAAGTTGCTCGAGAACGAGTACTTTTACAACAACACTCTCCTCCTTCTGACCTTCGATGAGGACAAGACCTACACCAACGACAACCGTATCTTCAGCGTCCTCGTCGGTGGTGCCATTCCTCAACACCTCAAGGGTACCAAGGACGATACCTTCTACACTCACTACTCCACCATTGCCAGTGTCTCCGCAAACTGGGGCCTTCCTTCCCTGGGTCGCTGGGATTGCGGTGCCAACCTGTTGCAGATTGTTGCCAACAAGACTGGTTACGTCAACTACGAGGTCGACAAGACCTCCCTCACGCTTAACCAGACCTACCCTGGTCCCTTGTCGGTTGGTGATACGACCGTTGGCAATACCTCCACCTTCATTGCTGAGTGGCCGATTCCCATCACCGACAGCAATGAGAAGTGTTCCGCTGGTCACGGTATCCTGGATGCCGTTAAGAAAACCTATGGACACCTGAACACCACATACGACACCAAGCCATACCCCTGGAGTGCCAAGACTCACTACAACGACAAGGTCACCGCCAAGCGCTCAAACGAGACTACGAGCAGCAAGACCAACTCTACAACAGCCAGCTCTGGCCAAGATAACGCTGGTGTTTCTACCACGGCTCCTATCACTACTGTCGTGCTCGGAGCCCTGTTGGCCATCGCTGTCTACTCCTTCTGATTAAACTGTTCTTCATCCATCCTTACTAGTCGGCCGGGGGTGGCTGTGATCTCATGACACTTTATCATCCGGAAACTTGCAAATGCGGTACCGATTGATTAGGAAGGAATGTTTTCTCCAAATTTCGGAGATGTAAAACGCGAATAGAAATCTCTATCTGGAGGCCAATATCTTAATTTTTAGCTACGAAGTCAAATGCGTTACCATTCTGATATTGCTGTTCTCATTAAAAGATTTTCTAAAGGTAATGATAATGTAGCATTTGTATCGGCCGATTCATTGGACCTACAGGAATGTATGATAACCTTGGGTAGCCGGTTTGAAAAAGTAGATGTCAGTACTCTGACACGAAGGCTCAAGTATATCGCAAAAAAAGAAGGCGAGAGTGAAAAGGGCCCAAGAGCCAGGTACTCATATATGATTTCATTGCACTCAATTCGCATAACCCGGAAATCACATATCCTTTGCCAACGATGCCTTAGGTTAAACCAGTTGACTATCAAAGACGTGCTGTCTTGATCAAGATACTCTTAGTCTCAAGAAAGCTGTCAAGACTATACAGAAGCCCCTCCCGGCCATTCCCACTCATTTTGAAACCGCCAAATGCAGTGTCCTTAGCATTCGTCGGGCTAGTGCAGTTCACCCCAACAGTGCCCGCATCCAGAGCCTTAGCCAAACGAACAGCACGATCAATATCCTTGGTAAAGACAGCAGCATACAGGCCAAACCCCGAATTGTTCGCCTTCTGAATCGCTTCAGTCTCGGTGAAAAAGGTGTTAATCACAACAACCGGACCAAAGACCTCCTCTTGCATCAGCCGCGAGTCTTCAGCAACGCCCTCAAAGATAGTCGGCCGCACAAAGAACCCGTCATTTGCATCACCACCCAGACTGAGTGTCCCATCCTTCTCCCCAATATCAAGGTATTCCTTGATCCGGTTATACTGCAACAAATCAACCTGCGGACCATGCGTAGTAGCAGGATCGAGTGGATCACCCATCCGGACGGCAGCAAACTTCTCACGGAATAATTTAACGAATTGTTTGGCCACTGACTCGTGCACGTAGATCCGTGAGTTTGCTGAGCACACTTGTCCACTATTAAACTGAACACTGAACTGTGTCTGTGTAACGGCTGTCTCCAAATCCGCGTCTTCAAAGATAATCGCCGGTGACTTCCCGCCCAGCTCCATGTGCACGTGCTTCATGTTTGACTCTGCGGCTGCCGCCTGGATCTTCTGGCCCGTTGCCGTTGAGCCAGTGAAGCTGATACATCGGACGATCATGTGTGATGCCAGCGCTGCCCCGGTAGGGTTGCCGAACCCAGAGATGATGTTGATAACTCCAGGTGAAAAACCCGCTTTCTCGATTAGCTTGGCTACATAGAGAGACTATGTCGAGTGTCAGCTGGCATAGTTAAGTGATACGCAGAAGATATTGCACAAACCGTCAACGGCGCCTTCTCACTGCTCTTCAATACAACTGTATTGCCTGCCGCCAGGGCCGGCGCTAGCTTCCCGGCAAGCATCACAAGCGGGAAGTTCCATGGGATGATAAGTGCTACCACTCCATATGGCTGCTTAACAGTCAGATTTAGGTGGTCTGGTGTGTTAAGGCTGGCCGTCCCCTGCGCGGTCCAACCGCCACCAGCGTAGTACGCAAATAAATCGGCTGCTACACTAGCGTCAAAGAACTGCGAGATTGGCCGGCCAGTGGAGAGTGTTTCGAGCTTCGCCAGCTCGTTGTTTGATTCCAAGATGAGTTGCGCTAGTCTGCGCAGGTATATGGCGCGCTTGTCGGTGCCCAAATCTCGCCAGGCGGGGAAAGCTGCGTTGGCAGCAGTAACGGCATCTTCTACATCTTGTATGTCGGCTGTTTGGACTTTGGTACCAAAGTAGGTGTGAGCAGCATGTTGATTTTTGCGGAGAGGGGGACACACCTTGTGCAACGACCTGTTTGGTGTATGGATATACCACCTTGAATGTTTCCCTACTAGACGATGCTCGAAACTAAAAAGAATTAGTATTAAAATGCATGGTTGATATACAGATAGCAGTGCTAGGAGTATAAACGTAGTTGGTTCCTACCTCGCCGTTAATGAACAACCGAGTCTCAATCTCATTCAGCATAGATTCCATATTGGACAGACTGACAGATTTGGCAACAATAAACCAAGCAAAAGAAAAGTTTAGCCAGGAGGCCAATTCAGCACTGGGCGACAGTTCGATTTATAAACATGCCAGTAAATCCATCACCTGGGCAGACTTCAAGGTTTCAATTAGGACTGCCATTTTAAAATCAATCATTAGTCCTTAGTCCCAAAGCCAAGGACAATTTCCGACAGCTATCATGGGTTTTATTGGGCAATACCGGTTGGAATCATGTACAAAGCTGACATGCATGGATCAATTGAAATGGCTTATGTCGGCTGCCCAGATATCTGTGTTCTGATTCCACCTGGGCAGCAAAGGGTCCAGTGATATGAGCATCTCATCGGTCATTTCAGTCAATGATAAGCTTTCAGTCATAGGGGTTTATATGCATAAGGGTTATCTCCGAGGGGCTTCTGAGCCCACCATAACGCTTTTAAATACAACGTTGTAGCTAGACAGGTACACATGAGAATCCTGCTTGTGTCACTAAGAATTTATAAACTTCTTCACTACCTATAATTTCCAAAAGAGCATTGGAAAATGTAAAATCACGTGAGATACCTCGGCTCTTCCATCTGGGGAACCGAGCGCGGTCGATGAGCGGACCCATTTCCCCGTGTTCTCACGAATCCCCAACTCGTTCCCTCCCATCCTCTACAAACACGTCATGATTTCGCGATGAGTTCAACAAACTTCGCCGCCGCACAAGAACGGGTTCTTGAACGTCGTCGTCAGCGTGAGGCTGAAGCGCGCGCCCGCCATGCAGCACAGCAGCGAGCCTCTCCGATTAGCCCGGCCACCGTCCAGCGTCTGCCATATCCATTGAATCGATTGCCTAGCTCGGGATGGCGGATATGGAATTCCATCAACGGCCGGGATGGCACGCGCCCCGCATTTCGAGTGGGCCAGGTGGATGCTGAATTGTTGGATGAAGAGCTGCTTGGTCTGATGAAAGGCCAGGTCGGGGATGCCCTCAAATACTTCGGGGTACGTTTGAATGCTTGGCGAATGAATCTCTGAAGTGTCGTGATAACCGAGTAGCTGACAATGATAATAGCCTCAAATGCGCGAAGATTGGTCACATGAGATTCTGTTCGCGTTACGGGCTATACTCTTCAAACTATCAATATGGGATCACGATGCATCATATGGTGCGGCGCTACAAGGCCTCAAATACACCGACAGTCGAAGCAAAGGACCCGTTTACTCTTCTCCGACAAAATGGCAGAAGAGTGTTTATGGCTTATTGACGGTTGGAGGGCGATATGCTTGGGACAAGTGGGAGAGCTGGTTGGTGGGACAAGAAGGTGGCTATGATGAGGTTAGTTGTCGACATATTACTCTCTGTTGGCGATGTTTACTAACAGACATTATCAAGCCATCACAGGACATTCGAATGCTATCGCGACTAACGGACATGCTGTCGACATCACACTCCATTGCCGCCTTCGTCTCTTTCCTGGTGTTCCTAGTGAATGGCCGATACCGTACCTTAGTCGATCGCATCCTTCGCATCCGCCTTACTCCGCCATCTGCACAGGCTAGCCGGGAGGTATCCTTTGAATATTTAAACCGTCAACTAGTTTGGCATGCGTTTACCGAATTCCTTCTTTTCCTCCTTCCTCTTGTTGGAATTGGTCGCTGGCGGCGATGGATCGCCCGTGCCTGGCATAAAATGGTCAATTCTGTCCGATCAAGCGGGGATGACGACGAGGTCTCCGATAAACAAGGAGAGCTGGCCTTCCTCCCAGAGCGAACCTGTGCTATCTGCTACCGCGATCAGAACCCTACCACAACAACAGAAAGCGATGCCATGGCGGCTTCTGCATCAGGAGGTATTGTGGGATCGGCGCAGACCGATATCACAAACCCATACGAGACCGTCCCTTGCGGGTGTATATATTGCTTCGTCTGTATTGTGCAGAAAATCGAAGCAGAAGAAGGCCAGGGATGGCCTTGCCTCCGGTGTGGTGAAATCGTTAAGAAGTGTCAGCCTTGGAATGGCGATGTGCTAGAAGAGGCACGGTCGCAGCCTGGTACTGGGAAGATTGTTGGCTTTGCCATTGACGGAGAACCGGATGGCGAGACCCGCAGGGCAGATATTCACCAAGAAAACTCATTAGGCAAATCCAGCCCGTTGCAGGAGATCAGCGCCGATGAAGCCCTGCAGCATTCAGAGCAATGGTCCACCATTGAGAAAGAGTCCACAGAGGACGATGGTGCAAAAAATACGAACGAGGATGATGACCAAAAGCCTGCTTCAACATGAAAGCAACCCTAAGGTACACCTCTCACACTCTAAATGCTTTCAGGGTTATATGCTGGCCTTATCTTCTCCGACATGTTTATATAAATATACAATTACTTGGGTAGCCGCGGTAGATATGCAACTTGCAACCCAAATAGAAATTTGACGATACCCATACTTGAACATTGGAATTTCAAATGTTCCTTTCAGAAATCATACAAAGGACCCGTGGACTAATTTAACAAGAAGCAGAGAAGATTCAAACCGTCACACATTTTAGTATTCCTGTTCAAGGAATTATCCAGCTGGAGACAGCAGCATAGAACCCAATGCCAGCCCCGACAAGTGGGAATGCAGCCCTGATCAAATTCAACTGCGACCAATGCTGCAAAAGTTCATTCACCTCGCTATCATCTCTAGCCCGCTTGGCCTTCTCCTGCGAACTAACCACCATACCCTCAGTACCATCAGTACCCTCAGCACCGGCCGCATCATCGCGTTTTGCATGAGCCTTCAGTTTGGCATTTGTCTTCTTCATGACCGTGACTGTAAAAGGTGCAATGCTCATCGTAACTCCCACAGCAAGCAGATAGCATGTGGACCAGCTGGACCCAAAGATATCCGGGGCAGGGGTAGGGGAGTCCTGCAGTTTCCAGAGCGCGTAAAGGTTTGCGAGTGAAGATACCGCGGATATACCGGGGAAAATCTTGCTGCCACGATCATACAGATCGAGCCACTGGTGTGTCAAGTGAGCGGTCGGGGTTCCTGGTGTATCTTGAAATGGCAGTGTTGCGCTTGGTGGACGACGAGCTGGAAGGATGATATTTGGAATGCTCATTATTGACAATGTAGCAATACCGCCTTGTGTACTGTGAGTGTCCAGTCATCTGTTGCGCAGGTGATGCTACTCACTTGCTGCCACTGCACAGCCAAGCGTCCCTATTGCCTGCGCGATCCTCACGTCGGTGGCCATTATATGGGTAATCTAGTACTCAGAAAGGATTGCGATGAAATAATTGTAATGAGGCAGAGCTCAAGGTGCTAGTACCGAGTATTGCTTTCATAGCATATGTATGACATCATCTATGATACGGTAGACTCCCTTGCTACCTTGTAAATAAAGTACAAATGCAAATATAAATATATATCCAGCTTTGACTATTAATAATGTATACAACTTTATACGTAGATCGGAAACTAGGCCCAACTCCGATCTGCTCATAAATCGGCCGCCTCTGACTGGACAATGAACGTGGGGTTCTGGGGTCGGACATCCCTGCGTAGTTGGAGCTTCCGAGGTTGTGTGGGCTATAATTTTGGTCAATTGCCTCGACAATTCTTTTTGGTTTGTTTTGTTCCACCACATATATCATCATGGATCCTTCTAAGCCAACCGTGCCTAGCACTCTCAGTGAGGCCAAATACATCAACTTCCCTTCTTTGCCCACAGATGCGAAGCATCCGGATGGCTCCCCCGCACTCAATCGTCACTCCCACACTATCACCAGAGGCCATGATTTTCCCGGCGCACGGGTAGGTTGACAATGAAAACATCGTGAGGTCCATTACTGACCGCTGTAGGCTATGCTCTATGCCGCCGGTGTCCCAGATAAGGAGGCGATGGCCAAGAGCCCACATGTCGGTATTGCCTCGGTATGGTGGGAAGGGAACCCATGCAACATGCACTTGATGGACTTGGCCAAAACTGTCAAAAAGTCAGTTCTGGAGCAGGAAATGCTTGGGTGGCAGTACAACACGATTGGTGTTTCGGACGCAATCACCATGGGCAGTGAAGGTTGGTTTGGCCATCAATTCTCACCGTTAAAAAAAGAGATAGCTAACCCCCGCTAGGAATGAGATTCTCGCTTCAGACCCGAGAAGTCATTGCCGATAGTATCGAGACTGTAACCTGTGCCCAATACCACGATGCCTGCATTGCTATCCCCGGCTGCGACAAGAACATGCCCGGTGTCGTAATGGGCATGGCTCGCCATAACCGCCCCTCAATTATGATTTACGGTGGAACTATTGGAATCGGCTACTCTGAGCACTTGCGGAAACCCATCAATGTCTCAACATGCTTTGAGGCTGCGGGTGCCTACGCCTACGGTACCCTTCGCCAACCCGACGATGGCGGTGACCAAACCAAGTCTCAGGATGAGATCATGGATGACTTGGAACGGCATGCCTGCCCTGGTGCCGGCGCCTGTGGTGGTATGTTCACGGCGAACACCATGGCCACTGCCATTGAGTCAATGGGTCTGTCACTGCCCGGCTCGTCGTCCACCCCTGCTGAATCGCCATCCAAGATGCGCGAGTGTGTTCGCGCTGCGGATGCTATCAAGGTTTGCCTGGAGAAGAACATTCGGCCACGGGACCTACTGACCAAGCGATCCTTTGAAAATGCTCTCGTTATGACTATGGCCCTGGGCGGTAGTACCAACGGTGTCCTCCACTTCCTGGCCATGGCTCGGACGGCTGGTGTTGATTTGACGCTGGATGACATCCAGCGGGTCAGCAACAAGATCCCCTTCATTGCCAACCTCTCACCCAGTGGCAAGTACTATATGGCCGATCTGTATGAGATCGGAGGTGTCCCATCGGTCCAGAAGCTGTTGATCGCAGCGGGTCTGCTCGATGGAGATATCCCCACAGTGACGGGCAAGACGCTAGCCGAGAACGTAGCCTCATTCCCATCCTTGGCCGAGGGACAGGATCTGATTCGCCCATTGGACAA